TGGCCAGATCTGTGCCTTTCCACAATTCTGTCTCTGAGCTCTTCAGGCAGTTCCTTTGACCTCATGATTCTCATTTGCTCTGACATGCACTGTGAGCTGTAAGGTCTTATATAGACAGGTGTGTGGCTTTCCTAATCAAGTCCAATCAGTATAATCAAACACAGCTGGACTCAAATGAATGTGTAGAACCATCTCAAGGATGATCAGAAGAAATGGACAGCACCTGAGTTAAATATATGAGTGTCACAGCAAAGGGTCTGAATACTTAGGACCATGTGATATTTCAGTTTTTCTTTTTTAATAAATCTGCAAAAATGTCAACAATTCTGTGTTTTTCTGTCAATATGGGGTGCTGTGTGTACATTAATGAGGAAAAAAAATGAACTTAAATGATTTTAGCAAATGGCTGCAATATAACAAAGAGTGAAAAATTTAAGGGGGTCTGAATACTTTCCGTACCCACTGTATATATATATATGAAGGGTATATTAGAGCAAAAATTACATATTTTAGGTTTTTTAATGCATAGTATATTATGAAAGAAATGTATTATGTAGATTTTACCTACATTTTGGAAAGTAAAATCACTAATATTGTGAAATCACTTAATAAATTATGTCTTAATGAAACCGTAAAACTACAGAATGGTTTCCGTGAGGGTTAGATTTAGGGTTAGGAGATATAAGTTATCATTTGCTCAGTATAAAAGCTATAAGTCAGTGGAGGTCCCCATCTTGATAGAAAACCAAACGTGTGAGTGACAGATCTCAGGCCTTTAGGTGTTAGGTAACGCAGTAGCAAAAAGTAATAGCGACAGTCACTGAAGCCTCAAATAGATGTGACAGAGGTGAGTCTCTTAGTGTGACTAGTACAGGCTTAGCCATGTGTGGATTACCTGAAGGTGTAAAATAGGAAGGTAATCCACTTCACCCGGTGTTTTCAAAATGATGCTTCCAGCCTGCTTTAACTCCCAAGCTATTTTTGCCTCTAATCAAGTCTGGTTGGAGTTGCCATGTCCACCTTGATGAATTATGAAAAAAGATAGTTTGTAGTAGGTTAATATGCATGTAGGGCTACTACTCTTTCCTGAGGATAGGAAGAGTAGAAGGGCTTTCTCACACTCAGTTTGAGTCAAAGGTCAGGTATTAGGCATTTGTTTGTGGTGCACTTAAAATGGGTTGTTTCTCTTTCTTTCATTTGTTCATTCACTGTGACTTGTTACATTACATGGATATTTTGAAAGAATTATTGACCCTCTAATTGGTTCCTCATTCAAGAATCTAAATGTTTAGATCTCATCCTGTTCCCATCCTCTCATCTTTGCCCTGGATGTCCCAGGCCTTCTCATGGATCATTGAACCTGAATGTCAGCTATATGGAACCCCATATCAGATCATTTGAGATACTTGAGTATATAACAAAAGGATGACAGGATGTGACAGTATTGCTGTTTCTTACCTGTTTGCTGTTATGTTCAAATTAACATAATACTTTCATTTTATTATATTTTCAAGATGCAGCTAGTGTTGTTTTTATGCTAGATCAATGGCATGGGGTGTACAATTAACACATGTAAGCCACATTTATGTATGCCGTATTCGACCATTAAAAGCTCTTGCCTGTTATTGCAGTGGTTCCTTAATAATCACCATCCATTTTGAGGTAAAACAACAATTAGCTTGTGTCATTACCCTTTATATGTCTGCTCTGCCTGTCTGACACCAATTGTTAGTGACCCTGGCAGTGAATGGGTGGGGTTAGATTGAGCTTTTAAATAGAAGGGTTGCCATATAGACTGCTTTAAATAGTGCCAGTGGTAGTGATAGTATTTCCTGTACAGCAGCAGTTTTGCTCCACCCAACCACGTCAGGGATACAACAAGGGATTTTTACAAAATTCCTCCATGATTATAAAATTGTCCTTATAAATAGATAAATATATGCATTATTAAGACCTGTATATCATACTACTTAAAAAAAAAAAAAAAAACTGTAATAATATTATTAATTTTTTTTGCTACTTTTACAAGCAGTATGATTGTTATTATTTGTATATAAGGTAGAGTAGCAGATATTGTATCAGTACTATGCAGGATATATTACATTTTGTAGTGTAGTGAATAATAATTTTTTTTCATGTTGTCATGTTGATTTTTACGTTTATAACACCAAAGTATATTGGTTTTAACTGTTGCAGAATTGTAGATGTTCCAGTTGGTAGGAAAGTAAGACAATGCATCATTCACAAGTGAAATGGTGAAATAGTTTCTCGTAGTCTGTTAGAGTATTAACTGTGCAGTTTTGTCTGTGTGCCATATGGGAGTCGTAAAATAATAATAAAATAATTCCATTGATGAGTGAATATAAGCATTGGCCAATTTTAAGAAGTACAGAATAAACTGAGGACTGTGATGTGTCTTATATTTTAGCTAATCAGAAGACTTTGAGCTGCTTTCTGCCTGTTGATCTTTGTTGGGGGCGGAGTTTGTAAAGAAGGAGTTTGTAATTCAGTGGCTACATTTGCTGGAAATTCCAAAGAGGCCATTCACACAACTCCTTTTTGTTTTGAAAAACTTTAAAACAAGAGAAATAAGGCTTGCAGCTTCTTCATATAAAAAATAATATAATATAATGTAATCCATTCTGAGAGGCTCATGCAGAGAGAGAGCACTAGTGTAAAAAAAAAAAAGCATTCCTACAGATGACAGTAGAAGAGGAAGTGAACACAGACAGCATGTGAAAGGGTTCTTACTGTACTGTGGCGAGACAGAGGCCGGCTCTGGTTGTTTTGGCAGTAACTGGAGTTGAGCTGGAGCTGTATTTCCCAGCAGGCTAAAGCAAACAGTGGCTTGGCATCTGTCTGAAAAGGAAGAACATTTTTTCACTGTCTCATGATGTCAGGAGCATCCTAGTGTTAATCAGACAGTACTTCAATAATGCATATGAAGCATAGACAGAGCTCCACACATGGAGAAGTTGTCAGGAAAGAAGTTTGGATTCACTGAAAAAGTAGTTCTTAACTGGTTTTGCTTCAGGACTTATAAATATCGAACATTAAAATGTATGAATATTACCTTATACTGAAAAGGCCCAACAATATGCAGAATTATTAAGGTGACAGGCTAAGCTGAAAATTGACAACTTTGATGACATTATATACATGGGCACTTTGTATGAATTTTATTTATTTATTCA